GCTCCAGGCCTCCTCCCGGACTTTTTGTCTGTCACCCGTTCCCCTATGGCTTTAGATTGGTAGCACCCCATGGTGGTGATGGTAGAAGTGGGGGTAACGACAAGGGCCATGCCTTTTTAGCTTGGGCACTGATAGATTTGCCTCTCCTAACATCATTTCACTGACTTCAGAAAAAAGGCAGAAAAGGAGGAAGCCCCTTCCCCCACGCCTATGAGAAGCAGCATGTGCTCAGGCAGGTGGCCCTGTACATGAATTCCATGTGCCACATGCGCCTGGGGCAAGGGGCTGCCAGGGTGGAAGGGGGCAGGGGTGGAAACTGGGTGCTTGCCAGAGTGAAGCTCTATGTCTACATCCCCAAAGAGCTGAAGGACAGAGGGCACTCTGCTGGGCAGAGCTGGGCAACTGCCACAACCAGCCTTCTTTCTGGTCCTCAATGGATCAGAGGTCTCATCACCCCCAATGTCCAAGAGGGTGTCTGGTGGGAGTGGCTGGGGCCTGGGATCTGGGAGCAGATAAAGGCATCAGCCTTTTCAGCCAGAGAGGAAGGTAGGAGGCTAGGGGGTGGGGGAAGTCAGGACTGGCAGCCTGTAGGCAGTTCTGTAGAACCCATTTGCCTCCCTCCCAACCAGGGCTTAGGCTCTTGCACATGCCCAGAATGCCCCAGATTTGTGGCAAAAGGCAGAACTGTACCTAGCACCCCCACTTAAAGGGCCAGTACCCTCCCTGGCCATATTTGGCACGTACAAGTGTGTGCACGAATGCCCGTGCCTAAGCATTCACACACCCACCTCCACACGCCCACCCACAGTCCCTCTTCTGGTATTCCTCCCAGGATGGCAAGATGACATTTTTTTTGCCCTCCACCATTACCGTCCTTGGTCCCTTCCAACCCTCTTCCTAAGCAATTTAGTCAATGTGGAGCCCCCAAGGCCATAGTCTCTTCCTTCCCCCACCCCCATGTCTGTTGAACCTTTAGGGCAGAGTGGTCTTTGTTTGGGGGCTTCAGGAATCTTATGGCCTGGACCTCAGTCCTTGAGATCTGATATCAATCCTATAAAAGTCCCTTGGATATTTTCATATCCAAGTGTAGCACAAGTCTAAGACCTCAGAAATGAATTGGGAGGGGGCACCCCCAGTCTAAGTATCCTGGGGGTTCTCTTGCTTTGACTCCCCACACCTCCCAATTTAAGCCTGATAAGGGCAGGCACGTGGATAGCAGAGAAGTATCTCTCTGGGAAGGGAATGGGGACAGAAAGGGGAAAAAAATGAGGCCTAGAGCTCTGTGGGCTTCCCCGGGCCCATACCCAACAGGCCCATTTTGCTGAGGGAGCCTCTATCACCAGAGGTGCAGGGAACAGGATCTTCAGTGCATTCACTGGCATCAGAATAACATGCTTGGTTTTTAGGGTGCTGGACTGGGGGAAGAGAGGTAAAATGAGGCTGGCGGTGGTAGTAAGGAGGGCTGACTGAGAACTAGGATGTTGGTTCAGGTGCCCCACTGGAATAAAAAGATAGCACAGCTCTGGGAAGTCAGGAAGACCTAAGTTCAAATTCTATGCCAGAGACCTGCTGAATGTGTGACCCTAGACAAAGTCACTTAGCTTTCACAGGCCTGTTGTGAGGATGGAACTGGAAAATGTAATGCAGAAGACTTTTTAAAACCCCAAATTGGTGTGGTGGCAGTCTTAATCTGAACTATGCTTAACCCGGTAGACTATATGAGGAGTTCCATCTAAACCCTATTTCAGCTTACAAAGCTTTTCTTTGCCTTTATGAGGGCTGATTTACATTTCACCACCCGTGGAGCAGTTAAACATTCCCCCTCCCCCTGCTAGTTTATAGTAGTGATAATTTCTTGTCTCATGTCTCTAAGATAAAGTGTTAAAAAAAAAATTCTCCCCTCATAGCCTTCCTCACCTATCTTTCAACACTGTATTACCATTCACCACCACCACCACTAGCTACAACAGGGTTTCTTCATCTTTATTTTGTGTTTTAGGCCCCTCTGGCAGTCTATGGACCTCTCCTAAGAATAATGTTTTTAAATAATGGAAAGAAATGCTACGTTTTAGTTAGAGGCCAATGAAAATAAAAATGTAATCCCACCTAAGTTTACAGGCACCCCCCCCAAATCTGTCCACAGTTGGTAGACCCCAGGTTAATAGCATAATAATTAATAATAATAATCTACAAGGTCCTTCAGTGCCCCTATTCAGTTTTTCCTAGAGAAGTCCCCCATTCTGTCTTCAGGCAGCCTAGGCCCCTAACATCAGGGTCCTGGAAGGCATGAGATCAAATGTGTCAAATATCATTTCTGCTCTACCTTCAACCCTGGGGGAACTGAGGACAAGGAGTCGGCTTGGTCAAGGGGGGTACTCAGGCATGGGGAGGACTTCCTCAGGGCAGGAAGGGATCTTCCTTAGCTTTTCTTCCTCTAATGCTTTCCCTCCCTCCCTCCTTCCTCAAAGTAAGACAATTTGGTTGAAAAGTGCCCGACAGTGGCCTCTGCTACTGAAACAAATACGGGGTGGGGGCCTTTAACAATCTCCCCAGTGGTGATGTTTCAGGCAGCTAGAGAGAAGGTAAGTGTTTGTGTGGGCCTGGAGGTGGGAGGCAGAGAAAGAACAAGCTGGTCCCTTCTTTCCCTGTAATCTCCCCTGGTGTCAGCTACCCCGCTAAGGACTGGTCCAAATAACTCACCCTTCCTCCTCCCAGCTCTAATGAAAGCTTTCCATTTAAAGAGGACAGTTTAACACCTATGGCACAAGCAAGCTCACACAGATCTGGGCTGGGGTACTGCTATAGTTATATAACCCATTCATCTCCACTTCCCTCTCACCCTTCTAGATCTATAGGCCTCCTCTAACACCCCACAAACACTCATCTAAATCCCCTCGTTAACTCTAGCCAATTCTTTCAAACATAATTCCTTCAGTCTTTACCCTCTCAGTCCCTACCTCCATCAGACTTCTTCAGTGCCCAGAGTAATGTCTCCATCCCCCACCCCCTGAAGGATATCTTCCTTCTGCTCCCCTTTGTAATGTCCCCTGCTTAGGCATGATTGCACACAGACAAGCCAGAAACTTGTCACCTGAAAATACAAATCCCCCAAGCATTTGTTCCCAAGGGCATAGCTTTGCTTTATCTAGAAAATCCTTCGGGGGTAACCTTTGATACTCTGGTCCCTGGTGAGAGAATCTGTCACTGTACCACTGAACCATCCGGAAAAGTCCCCTACATCCAACCCTGCCCCAGTCAGGTGCTAGAGGGGGCTAGCAGCAACAGGGCCTAAGCACCAGCTGACCCTGTGACTTGTCAGCAATTCCAACTATCTCCCTTTTCTGGGCTGTCTCTAGCTCAAAACACAGTCTCCCTAATTACCTTCAGGAGAAGGCAATCCCCTTCAGGGACTTTATGGGAAGGGGGGGTGGATTTTACAATTTGGGCTGAACCGAGTCTGATCAATCTCCTGCTTTGGCTCAAGCAGGGGGCTAATGTGAACCCCAGGGCTCACCCGTGAGTAGATTGAATCCTCATGCTGTATCTCAAAGGATCATTACAATAAACCTTGAAGGAACATCAAGGCTACAGTGGAAAGAGCATTTGATTTAGCATCAGGGGACTAGGGTTCAAATCCTGGTGCTGCTTACTGCCTGTGTGACCTTGGGCAAGTCATTTAACCTTGGTGGGCTTCAGTTTCCTCATCTATAAAACAAGCACATTGGATCTGGCCCTTTCCAGCTTTAAGTCCCATTTAACTCCCCTCCTTCTAATCCCAGCAGAGCTGGAAAGGAGAGCCCTGCCTGAAGGGGCTGGAGGTTTGCGTCCATTACCAGATCTCAAAGGTAAAAGGCAGACCTTGTTTTTGCTGCTCCTCTGCCCTAAGCTCTAACAATCAACTGAGCTGAACCTAAGGAAGAGACCCTGCCATAACCTGGCTGTTCCATCCCACTCCCTTCAACTTCAATTATGTGCACTGATTCAGAGAAGGTGAGCTGGGCTGATCATGGCCCAACTCTGAATACTCCCCTTATAGCTCATACCTGACGAAGGACTGTCCCCATTAAAATGTCAGGATCTTCGCTAGAAGAGAATGTTTCATCCGCTGCATTTGTATATCCCCAGTGCTTGGCACACAGTAGGCATTTAAATAAATGTTTGCTGATTGACTTAGGGGATGGATATCAGCCCCTCCTCTACTTCTGTTGAGTATACTGCCTTTTCTATGGCTTCCCTCACTTCCTAGGGACCTACTACTTAAAAAGCACATGCGAAGGCAGGGAACATAGAATATACACAGAATCCCAAAATGGCTAAGGTGAGGTCAAGATTGGATGTCCAGGCCACCCAGATGATCCTGCTTTTGCATAGCTAGCAGGTAGGTGGCACAGTGGATAGAATGCTGGGCCTGGAGTTAGGAAGACCTGAATTCAAATCCTGACTCAAGACACTTACTAGCTATGTGACCCAGGCTGAGTCACTTAATTGCTGTTTGCCTCAGTTTCCTTATCCGTAAAATTGAGATTATAATAGCACCTATCCTCCAGGGTTACTGCAATGATCAAATAAGGCAATATTTGTAAAGCACTTAGCACAGTGTCCGACACATAGTAAGCGCTATATAAATGCAAGCTATCATCATCATTACTGCATAGTACAAGCGTTCTGATGTCAGCTCCATTTTCTTGAAGGAACAACAGAGGTGGGGAAATGGAATGGAGCAGGCCATTCTCTGGACATTTTTCCTTTGCCTAAGAGAGGTTACTGTTCTGTTTTAGGATGTGAGTGATAATGGTCCTAAGTCCCTTAATTCTTAGCCCAAGTAGCCATTAACTCAGGGAAAGTCAGATCTCCTTGGAGATTCAGGTGGGGCCCCAGCTGAATAATTCTCATCCCACCTGGAGGGGTGACGAGTTGGGTCTAGTACAGGTCTCTCCATCTCACAAGGATGTCTGGAGGGTCCTTCCAGACTCCATGGTGCAATATCCACCTAATTCCTCTTTACCCTCATCAAGACATTTTAATTTTACTAAAGAAAAAAAATAAAATGAGACAACAAGATAACAAACTCAACTTGTCCTCACCGAACTTCTACTCTGGGGCAGCATGCTGGAGAAGGAAAGAGAAGTTCAAACCTGCAACTTTGTTCCTAGTGGTCTCTGTCCAGAACTAGGCCTTGAGTCCCAAAATTTACGTGCAGGGCTTCTCAGGAATACAGATGGTGCAAGTCTCCTTCGATGCAGTGCTGGGCAGGTGAAATGAGTACAGACAGAATGCCTTCTCCTTGCCCCACCCTCCCACATTTGCTAGAAAACCTCTAGAGTGCTACCAGGGGATGCTGGGGAGAGGTTAGCAAAGGGCTCCCTTAGGTGCCCAGATCCTCTCTAGGGCTACTGCCCTCTCGGCCCCACATTTCATTCTCTCGTCGAAGCCTCTGGTTCTCCATTTTCAGTCGCTCCACTTCAGCTGCCAGTTCCTGGGCCCGGTAGCAGGGGTGAGGACCAAAGGGGTTTCGCTGCTGTTGCAGTCGCCGTGTCTCCTCCTCAGCCTGTGAGAGCCGTTTCTCCAGCTCTAAGTAGTCCCGTACCAGTTCTTCCTTACTTCGGCCCTGCAGGCTCTCCACGTGGTAGTGCTCATAGGCTTCTGAGAAATCTCTTTGGAGGAACTCACCCTGGGCCTTCCCTCCACCATCAATGTCCCCAGTTCCCCTACCTTCCTCCTCATCTTCCTCTTCCCATCCAGAACCCTGGTGGGGTAACCCCTGGGGGTTACCCAGGTCTGGTTCCTCCAGGTCATGGTCATCCATCAGGAACTGAGTGGTATTGTAGGGGGCCACAGCCTGCCCCTTGGCAAACATCTCCTCTCGAACCCTGGAGGCTCGCTGGCTTTGCTGTTCATCTCGCTGCTGCTTCTCTGCCCAGCTCAGCTCCAGGTAGGGCCTCCAACGATGCCTTTTGCGTTTTGAGGACCGACGCCTATGTTTCCTCCGACCCAGTGCCTCAGCATAGCCACAAGCTAGGCTCTCAGTCTGGGATATCCCATTCTGTTCACTGCTGCCATTGATGGTCCTTGCTGGCTCCTTCCACTCCACTGGGCTGTCCATCCCAGGGTTCAGGGGCCTACAACCACCAGGGTCAGAAGACTCGGGTGGCACACTGGGGCTGGAAGAGATCCCAGAGTCCTAAGATTAAAGAGAAAAGAAAGGGAAGTGTGAGAGCTCGGACAATTAAGACACTGGGCTGTGGCCCTCGGATAAAACAAGACAACAGAGTGAAAGGGGGTATTCAGAATTTGCAAGTGTTGTGCAAAAGGAATAGGGACATAAACATGCAAACAAATTTGTAAAAATAAATAATTTAAGAGAACAAAAAAGAAATTAGGTAGTGGGCAGGGAGAGGAGATCAATACTAGACAGACCTGTCCTTTCTATGAAATTCCATTTGGGGGTAGAAAAAGAAGATAAATCGGGCTGACTGAAGACAGATTCTTATTTTCTTTAAGAAGGGTGATTCTGCAGCAAAATCCCCCTCAGTGGGTAATGGTGACAGCCAAGACGGAGAGAGAGAAAACAAATAATGAGGAAGGGTATTTTGTGCGTTTGAGAGACTAGGAAGTAATCTATTCAGCTCAGCATGAGTCTGTCAAATGAGGGGGCACTCCCTCACTTATGTTGCTGTGATGAGAACGGTGTGCAGGGGATGTGTACTACGTTGTAGTGAATGCATATAAGGTGCATATAAGGGTACTCACAGTATGCATGCATTAAGTGTGTTTTTTTCACAACATACATATTATTTTGTGTGTGCAAGACTACGCATGTGAGAATATGCTGGGAGGTGTATCACTCTTGGTGAAGGGTTTATATTTGTCCTTAAGGATGCTGGAGAGGAGCTATTTCAGAAGAAGGACAGAGTGAGGGGATGTGAGGGTGTGGGGAGGTCAAGGGACTCTCTGCAACATATTAATTACCAATTCAAAGGCACAAGAGAAAAGAACTCAGAGGGACAGACCCTGTCTCAGTCAAAGGGGTTCCCTCTAAATAACAACATGGCACTGCTCCACTTGGGAAAAGCAAGTCAGGTAGGGGACATTAGGACAGCACCTTTTCCCAAGCCCACCAGACAGGAATTCCTACGCAAACTAGTTCCTTCACTCCAACCTAGCCTTACACCTCTAAATGCCCAATTGTGGCACTTTTTTCCTCTTTCAACACCTCCACCAGAAAGTCAAGATTAAATATGAATCCTGGGCCGGTTGGGGGAAAGTGTATGTGGTGGGAGGAGGGGGATTTTCTATCAGGAGATGACTTAGCTCTGGGAATTCTACAAGGTGGTGAGCACAGACCAGGAAGAGGGGAATTGTAGACCATCTGAGACACAAGGGGCCTTAAGAAACCACAGACGCTAAACTGAAGCTCAGAGTGGCTGTGACTTACCCAAGGTCACACTGATAATAAATGGTACAGTCTGGCCTTGAGCCTAGGTCTCCAGGTCCCTAGTTAACTCTTCTCAAATCCAAAACAAACTGCAGAGACACTTTTTCTATGGGATTTGGCCCCCAGCTTCTACAAAATGGGGTGATGTCTGATATTTTCCCCCACATCACCAGGCCTGATAGTTATGCTCTGGGTATGCTCTCCACATCATCCAAGTATCTGTCCCTTCCAGACATTCAAGTTCAGGACACGGGTCTAGGTCATTCCCTGTCAAGAAAGCAGCCTTACCTTTGTCTCCTCCAGATTAGCACAGGTTCAAGAAGGCTCCTTCTTCCAGGAGGTTTGGGAGTAGTGATGGGGAGGATGTCTCTCCTTCCTCTCAAAACAGCGAGTAGAAGCTTCTCTATGGTTTTCTGTGCTGTAAAGGAGAACAAAACAAAAGCCTTATCCCTAACTTCAAGGGGGGATTTTCTCAGTCTCCTCCTGGGACTCCTTGAGCAAAGGGAAGAGGCCATTTTGTGGCAGGTAAACCTGAAAAGAACTCACAGTAGAAAGAGGACTGAGGCTGATCTCCTAGAGCCTGGGGGAAGTTATTCTATTCCCCAGCTCCCTCCCACACCCCAAGTTAAGTAAGGTCAAATTTAGACTGGGCTCAGAAGCCAGATTTTTCCCCTACGGCCGATCTCCCAAACAAATCTGCCCTCCTTCTGTGCCACCTACACCAGGATTGAGAACTGCCAACCCTCTGATTACAGAACACTAGAGACTTGGATGGGGTGCGGGTAAAATCTACCACAAGCAAGACAGCTGATGACCAAGTCCTTCGTTTCACTCCTAAACTAATATGACGCTTCTCCATAGGCCCGATGTTTAAAGGTGGAGGGGGAAGTGGGTAGAATTGGCAAAGTAGGCCAGGCATCACCCGTTACCACCACCCCACTCTAAGATGTGAAAAGCTGGGTGGAGGGTGGCTAATGAATTAAAACTGAGGGATCTAAGGACAGGGGAGGGGCAGTAATTTTATAAGAGCAAGATGAGAGGAATGTAATGAGATTCCTAGCCGAGGCTAAAGTCTCGCTGCAATAAAGGGGACAGAGGGAGAGCCTGGGGAGACGACTTGTACGAACAACCCCTTGCTAAAGGGTCATTTACTCTGATGAGGTTTCCGTAACCACCGACACCAGTTCTTTCTGACTGAGAGGTGAGAGAGCCGAAGCCACCTTCCCCGGGAAGCAGAGCCTCTCCCATAGCCCACATGCCTAGGGGTACAGCGTCCATGCCTGCAAGGACCAGGCCCTGCTCCCTCTTGGCCCGTGGTACCGGAAGTGGAAAGAAGGGGGAGGAGAAACTGGAGTCCGAACTGACGGGGCAAGAACCCCGCGCATTTGGTAGCTGCATTCCCCCCAAAACACACAATTTCCTGGAAAGGGTAGTGAGGCTCAATTCTACTGGATGACGAGATGGTTGGAGATGAGAGCTTTGGGACTGTAAACTGACCTATTTGTTGCCAAGGGCTGCCACGCAAGACAACGGCCGCGTGCCTGCGCGGCAGCCTCTTGCCTGCAATTCCTATTGCCTAAGCCCTGTACCTTGAAGCGACTTCAGCAACCGCTCCAGCAAGCCGCAAGCGCACGAGGACGTCGAGGAGCAGCGGGGGTGGGGCGAAGTGGGGTGGGGTGGGGCGGGGCGGAGTGGGTGGGAAGACAGTCAACCGCGATACCTGCTGGGGATTGTATTTTCTCTAGTCAGGAAAAGAGGACCAGAATCCCGTTCACTTCCACAGCCACTCCCTAAGAACTCCAACACCCAGCAGGCCCAGTTCGGGCGCACCGCCTCTAGGTCTCTGATTGGTCAAGAGCGCTTGTCTCTATGTCCATCCTTATCACCATTCGCTGGTTGACGAATCGAAGGCGGGGACACCACTTCCCCGGCCCAGTTCAAGAAGTTATCGATGGAGTAAAGCGTTCCAGGGTTGGAAATAGATTCGAAAGTGGGGTGGGGGTGGGGAGCGAAGCGAAGGGTAGAAAGCTGACCGGCGGGACGCGTCTGGAGCGCATGCGCGTGCGGAGGGATCCGTGGCCCAGGAGGGAGGGGAGGGGAAGGGAGGGAAGGGAGGAGGCTGGGAAGGCGGGCGACGAAGAGTCCGGGGCCGCCGCCATTTTGGGCTGGGAGGAGGTAGCGGAGGGAGTCGCTGCGCTGTGAGAGGACCCCCGTGGGGGGGCGGGCCGGGCGCGGGGAGAAGCCTGGCCAAGTGGGGGCTGCTCCGGGGGATGGCAGGGAGCGGCCCCTGGGGGCAGAAAGAGGGGGGTGGAGGAGGAGGACCGACCCCAGGGCAGGGCCGGGCCTGCGGCCTCGCCCCTCACGGAGCCCTTGGCCTCCCTGCGCCTCCGCCGTTTGACCTAGGGGCCTCGGAGAGCACCCCGACCCGGAGCGGGGCGGCAGGGGGGAGCGCGATCAGGCCCCAGCCCTTTCAGCGCCCTCGGGGCCTCACGGACGGTCCTAGCGGCCTGGGGAGGGTCCCCGGGGGCAGCCCCTCGCCCCGGCCCCGCCCGCCAGCCCAGTGCAGCTGCCTCCCTACCACGAAACCCTTCTGGAGCCAGCCAAGGGGTGGGGCGGTTAGAAACCTTCTGGAACCCTAAGCTTGGGGGATCTCCAAGCGCGCTCGGGGCAGGACCTCCACCCCACCCCCTCCATCCCCGTCCAGCGCCAGCTTTCTCAGAACACCGTCCTCCTTTCTGCTTAGAACCAACTTGGGGGGGGGGGGCGGAGGGGTAGGGCCGGACCCTCAAGTTTAATTTCCTCATACCCTCCTTTCCCAAACTGACACCCACCCCTGTAACTACAAGTGAAGTCGGGGAGGGGGTCATGCGCCCCTTTTAAATATTGGGGACAAAACCCAAATACCCAGCTCCGGCACGTCTAGGAAATGAAGCGTAGCTATCCGTTTTCTTAGGCCAATGGGACATCTGTTTGCATTTTGAAATCTGAGCGTAACGTTTGACCCAAAAGCCCGTAGAGAAATGTTTAGGAGTAGAGGGTGGGGGAAGAAAATCGTTTCAATCCAGTCTATGCAAAGTTCTAAAATTAAAGAATTCCGTTTTACCAAACAAGGTGTAGGGTTGTGGGTTGGGAAGTATTTTGTGGCATCGGTTTCATTGTTACTAGGAGCTTTTTACCCGGCACTGTATGTCACTGGAGTGATCTCTTGCTTGCGTGATCTTGATCCAGCCTTTGCTGCCACATAAGGGAGAATAGAATTTTGAGCTCTTCTCTGTGGCAACTGCATGATAAACCTAACTTTCAGTCTTCTCTCTCTCCGTCTCGATTTAATTGTATTGCTACTGCATCATCTGCCTAAAGAGTAAAGCTGTGATATGGCGTTACTAGCAAAAGCAAAGAAGATAATTTTGAAAGCTTGGCACAGAGAGAAATCTGTAATATTTGATGTTCTAAAATAACAGGTTATTTATTTTTAAAGTTACAGTTAATTTGATGCCAATTTAGAACCTGAAAGTGGGTAAGATTTTCTGGGTGACTGGTGTGTGAATAGTGCTAGAATTGAGACTCTTACTGCCTGATAAGCCTGTAGTGCTCTGTTCAATTCTCATTGCCAGGAATAGTCCAAAATTAATCATTCCAGTGGCTTTGATACTCAAGTAACCTAAATGAGCTCAGAACTGAAGCTTATAGCTCCTATGGTACCTCTTTAAAAGTAAAAAGGGTTTGGGGGGGGTTTGAGAGGGTTGGTGGTGGTGCTCTAATTGTAGCCATTTTTCTATCTTCTCAAATTGTTTCTAAAGGAAGACTGAGAACCACAAAAGCTGAATAACAAGATTTGTATTTTAATCCAGATTTGGAACAACCACCCCACTAAATAGACAGCAGTTCCCTTGAATTAAATTCTCAATTGGCTGTCCCTTAGGTATCAGTCTGTAGATGCCAGAGTAAAAAGGTGTATTAGGAAAAGAGTGTGCAGGATTGGGAATTTTAGAGCTAGAAATTCCTTTCTAGATCATCTGTATAGGTGGTCGGTAATTCATGATTTGGGCAAAGGATGACTATTGTATTTGACTTCACACATATATGCACACATTCTGGGTACCAACATTTATTGATCGTGTTTTTGGGAACCATAACCCACCTGACTGCATCTAAGGTCAACCAGTAAGCTGTTCAGAACCTCAGTAAGAAAACTAGAATGAAACTTTTTTAAATGGACAAAACTTGAGACTGGTGGTTAAGAACTCCAGGTTCTATTTCTGTCTGTGCTACAACTTCAGTTTGGCTAGGTGCCAGATATTGAAGATGAGGCCAAACTGCTTTTTTTTTTTTTTGCTGAGTCTAATGTTCACCCGGTGTTCCATTATTTTAGGGGCTTTTTGATATGATACAAAGGTCATTCAGAACAGTTCAGTAGCCTGCTTCAAGAAAGTATCATGGTAGCATCAGAAGTTAATTCCAGCATTGGTGTTAGACAGTAATTTTTGGATAGTGCCCTTTACCTTATGGCTAGGTTCTATAACTCCGGCAATGTATAGAGAGATTATTGATCAGTGGCAAGATTGAATTTTTTTCCCCCAGCAGTTTTTTGTTGCATATTTCCTTTTCTTATGATTACTCTTGCTCCTGTCTCCTAAGGCCCCCAATCTCCTATAAAATTATTCAAAGACTTTGTGGTTTAATAAGTACTGATGATTTTCCCACACCCCACCCTAATGAATTTGGAACCATCTTGCTTTTTTTCTAATCCCCAAATGAGCTTCCAGGGTTGATCAGGATTTTCAGTGTTGTGTATTAAAAGCAAGCTTCCAAAGTCATTTTTTATTTCCTGCTCTGACCTATTGTGGATGGAAAAAGTCCTAGTGAACAAGTGGTGTTGTCTTTATTAGTTTTACTTAGATGAAAGTGTTTGGAGCGCTCTAATGCTCTCGTGTTGTCTTTAAGGAGGATATTTTATGGTTACAGCAGACCCAGAACTTTTTAACACTTAACACATTGAACTAGATAAGAAAAATTCCCTCCTGAATTTTTTCCTCTTTTCCTCTTATTTTTAAACCAAATGTTGCTATTGGTACTTTCTTTATAGAGGGAATGATCATACTTGTTATATTAAAACACTTAACCATACAATCTTGTAACAACTCTAATGGTTTTGTGGACATTCAGAATATTTATTAGAAAATTATGATTATTCCTGTTGGTGCCCACCAAAGGTTCTTGCTGCAACATTTACCATAATTAAACCCATCTTTGGGTGGAAAAATGCTATTCAGGAGCAGATTATCACAGCTAAAATTAATGATATATCAAACTGATCCCCCACCTCACGTCCACCATTCTTTTTTTTCTACATGAACAGAATGGAATGGCCAGCTCTCCAGTATTCAACACAGCTGGCCAAGATTGAATCAGCTGCCATCTAGACCAGGGTTCTAACCTTTTTTATATCATGGACCATTTGGCAGTCTGGTGAGATCTATAGACTCCTCAGAATAATATGCTTTTTAAAGTTCATAATTGAAGGAAATGCTAAATTTCAATTAGAGCTTAGTGAAGATATATCTTGTCCATTCAAGTTGAGGGATCTCCTGAAATCAGCAATCTTACTCTGCCAGATGGTCTGTTGTTCTACATGTCCTATTTTAAGGAAAACCAACAGTGTCACCACACTGTACTTAGTAAGTGTAAAGTGATCACTGGCCTCAAGAAGGGACTTGTGATTACCTCAAATCTGATTAAATGTGGTCAACTATTTAGCTGTGAGTTTTCCAATCCTTTTGATATACCCTGCTTTCTCCCGCCCCACTCCTTTTTGGGCTTTTTTTACTAGTCCTTCAGGCAAGGAATATTTGAAAAATCCTCTGTTCTAGGGAAATACTTTGACGAAAATGAAAGCCCTAAGCCCAAAAGGAACCCAGAGAGTAAATGTTTTCTACTGCATGCCAGGATCCCTTTTCAAATTCTAATCTTAATGATAATGCTCCCTTTGAAAACTATAAACACCATAGAAGGTGAAAACATTTGTTTCATTAGATTCTGACAAACATGCCATAGGCAGCCATTTTACAAATGAAACTTAGGATGGTAAGTGGTATAGCCAGGACTACACCTGGTCAGAAAAGACTCATTTACAATGATATTTAAAAAAAAAAAAAGATTTGATACCTTTTTTGTCTTTAAATCAGTCATTTCCAAGCTCATCCTCCTTTGAACCCTATCTTATGACAGAAAAACACAAGTGTCAGATGCAAATGACAATCTGGCAATGTATATAATATTCAGTTCTAGTCATTTCCTTTTCTGCTATGATAGTGGAGGAATGTTTCATTATGTTTTCCTTTTTTTTTTTCCCCGTTACTTAGAGTTAACTTCCTCTTAGAGATTTTTCCATTTGCAGGAAATATTTTTAGTTCTGCTTACTTCGCTCTATCAGTTCATGTAAATCTTCTCACATTTCTCAGACATCCTTATATTTTTAAACTGCATGATTCTATTACGTTTGTGTTCCATAGTTTTTTCAGTCATTCATCAACTAAGGGGCACTTCCTTTGCGACCACCAAAAGTGTTATGCTTATTTTGGTACAATGTGTCCCAAAGTCTTAGCAGAGTTTAAAACTGCTCTGACCGTTTGGGGCATCCTATATATTGCATCTTTTTTTTCTGACTCCATGGGTATATTCCCAGTAACTGTGTCAAAGGATTTGGACAGGTTAGTCACTTTTTTTGCATAATTCCAAACTGGAATCCCGAATAGTTGGACTAATACTGTACTCTCCCACCACAATATTCCATCAGTAGTGTATTAGAGCACCTGTCATTCTCTCCACTGGTTCTCAACTTTTATCATTTTTCCAGTTAGCATTATATAGGTGAAATCGCAGATATTTAAATTCCCATTTCTCAACTATTTGTTTCGAGCATGTTTTCATGTGGTCATTTATAATTGACAGTTTTACCACTTATAGGAGAATGGCTCATGGTCAGTTCAGGTCCCTCTGTATTTTGGATATGATACTCTTACCATGATTCCTCCCCTTTAAGAACAACCAGCATCCTTCACCATAACCAAATGAAACTAGGACTCGAAAGAATTGGTAAAATGGGTAAGATGCAAGCTAGCCATTGGAGAATCTCTTTGAATCACAGCCCCACCCAGAATTGCCTGGCCTCATTCAGAATTTGAGCTCAGAATTACACCAAGAGGTGACAGTGATTAAGTACCATTGAGTATTTAGGGTACAGCTTAGCCAAACCTAAATATTCCTTGCCTTGTTTGGTAGTCACCAGAAAGTTAAATGGTCCTTTTCTAATATGCAGTAATTCTCAAGCTTCTTGGTTTCAGGACCCCTTTACACTCTTTAAAATTGTTGAGGATTCCAAAGAGTTTTTATGTGAGAGTTATATCAATGTTTATTAAAAATTAAAACAATTTTAAAATAGTAATTTAAATAAACCACTGCATGTTAACATTTTATGAAAAATAACTCACAAAATTAGAAAATGGCATTCATTTGCATATTTTTATAAATCTCAATGCCTGGCTTAATAGGAAAGAGTTGAATTCTCTTATTTCCTGCTCCAATCTGTTATAATGTTGTTTTGGTTAAAGTATATGAAGAAAATCTAATCTCATGCTGATAGATAGTTGGAAAAAGGAGCACTTTCAATAGGCAAAGTCTTATGAAAAATTTTGACCATTCTGAAAGGGTCTTTCAGGGATCCCCTGGAATCATATGGGTCCTTGGACCATATTTTTGAAATCCACTCTGCTAAGGGAAAGGAAAAAATCTGGAATTTCTAACACCTAAACATGTCCTATTGATCAGTTCTGCCAAAAGAAAAATGTCAAGGGGTTGCTGTTATCATTAATTAGAATGGATTTAAGGATCATTTGTGGATTCAGTGCAATACCCTGTTAGAACAGATAATTAAGTTGGCTTATTTTCTCCCTGCCAAGAATGCTATAACTAGCTAAGTGTTTTATATAGTCCCTACCCTTATTGTAGAAAGTTATGGTACTTCTATCTTGGACAGGAAAATTAAAAATTATAACACAGAACAGTTTTAAGGTTGAATTTCCCATCTGTAAAATAAGGGCATTCCAAGAGCAAAATTCATAGGAGATTACATGACTCAGGAAAATCAGTCATTCAAAAATTATTTGGAGTGGTAAAAGTAAAACTACTTTAAAAGATAACAGCTAGATTTTTGCCAAAAGGTGACCATAGGATTTCTTTATTATGAGTAATAGTTATATGATTTCTTTCCAAAATTCCTTAAGACTTCATTCTTCCAATGCTGACAAAAGAAGATCTAAATAACCTGCCTTTTTACTACGTATAAGCCCTATGACCAAAGGTTAACTGTTAACACTCAAACTTAAAAAAACTACTACTTAGTATGCAAAGCCAGAGGGCAGTGTTGTCGTTCTGCCATCATAGAACAGTTTGCTGGTGCTGCTGTATGATGTCATGTTAGAAGGAGAATTGAAAACGCAAAAACTATTTACCAAAATAAACCTTTAATGTCATTTAGTCCAAAGGAAGAACTGATAATACATATTTCCAGTGGAACATCTGTCAGAATAAGGCCAGCTCAGCATTTAGTAGTCAATCTTGTCCAACTCTGACTGGTTGTAATTTCCCTGGATTTGTCCTTTATCCTAAAGATACATTTTGGTATTTTATTTTCACCCTCTGAATTTTCCTCTAGTTACATAATAGTATGTTCCAGTCAGGACAGAGTTTTGGGTCTTTCCCCCTAATGTTAACCTGCAAAATCCTCTTAATCAGAACTCCTATCAAGGAGTTAAGTACCTTGATTTTTCTCTTAGGTTCCACTGGTACATATGAACATGTTAATTGGAAACCATTTAACAGACAAGTTAGACAGAACATTTAAAATGGCTACCATTTTATAAGGGCTTAGATTGGCTGTGATTTTTTGAACCAGATACCAATGAAGTGGTGTGGTATGGAGAGTTCGTTCACATTCCCTTGAGTCAGTATGGGGCAGAAATTACCTTGCACACACTGATCATCATCCTAAGAATTAGGAGCAGGGCAGTTGAAATATCAACAGCTCTTTCTCTCTCCTGGGAATCAAGACAATACCTCAGTGGTGAGCATTTAAGATTTCTCACTACCTGCCTTAAGGATTTAAGCACTAATCCATAAACCTGTAGTTTCTTCATGGTAAGCAGCTACCCTGTTGAACAATTAGGTTCTTGGAATTCCAAAATAGCCATTCCCTCTTTTAAATACATTTTTTCCTCCACAAAAAGAGGAGCAGCCCAAGTTTATCTAATCTAACTATAGCCAGCACTTAAAAAAACAAAGGGTTTACCAACAACCACTTCCAGAACTCCATCCAGCTTCACTGGAGGGTGTAAGATTGCTGAAAACCAACTTGTACCAATGAAATTGGGACTGTCAGTTGACTCTTGCTAACTGCCAAATTTTATTTACATATTTGTCAGCAGGTTTTTTGAATGGCTATTAGGAAAAAGAGTTAAGTTCCAGGCTCTGGAATTATAAACATGCAAAACCTTGCTGCCACCTCCTGCTGCCCCAAACATCTTGCAGTTTCCTTTCCAGCAGCACAGGAAAAAAAAAATACCAAGGCACTAGAAAGCAAGCACAGAATTAACATTGCGGTACTTTGCCTATTATGTATTGTATTGAACATTGAAAATTTACTAAAAAGGGAAAAACGTATATAAATTGGAGAACCTCCCATTAAGGCTGCATAACTGTTTTTTGCCTCACTGACCAAATATGCCTTTTTTAAACACCCCAGGATTAATACAAATCCAAAAAAAATTCTCTCCCGGAGAATATTACCTTGATATCTCTAGAAATCACACTGAAACTATGTTACATTTATAAATATTAAATTTATTGTAACTATAGAATGGACTTAATGGTTTTCAGATTTGGGCACCTTACAACTCCCTGTTTTGAGGGTTTTTTCCTTTTTTTTTTGGTTAAACAGAAAAATGCATTATAATTTGAGTCAAATTTACTTACATCCAAAAAATACACATTCATCTCTTCTAGTAAGAACAAGAAAGCAACCCTTCAGATTCACATAATTAAAGAACAAGGAAAAAAAAACCACTACATTATAGCTAAAATTTTAAAACAATACAAAGCCATGGGGTTTTTCATTTTTGATTATGTCATAAAAAGGTTCACTGTCATATACACATGTATATAATGTTACATTCCATCACCGTACAAAGTCCCATTTTTCCCCTCCCCCAAAAAGTTTGACTAGTCTCCAAACTTGGAAAGAGGCACTCTCTCCTGCTGTCTGTGCAGTTCGTTCTCTTTCAACAACTGGAGATTCTCGGCTTTTAGCCTATCCAGCTCCAACTCTAGTTCTCTTACCCGGGAGTCCTCCCCAAACTTCTTGCTCTCCAACCGCAGCCGGTTGTTCTCGTCCTCCATCCTGGAGAGACACTTCTCCAGCTCCATATATTCTTTGATCAATTCCTGCTTGCTCATGTTTTGGAGGCTCTCCGCATGGTACCGTTCATAGGTCTCGGAGAAGTCCCGCTGGAGAAACTCACTTCCGTCTCCCCCCATCCCATCACTGCCCCCGTCCTCCTCCCCTGCCTCCTCCAAGAAGTCCTCATCACTTGTATCGTCCGACTTGGCCACCGCCCGCTTGGAGTAGAGGCCGGTTTTGAGGTCCGGCTCCTCCTGATCGTGGTCGTCCATCAAGAACTGGGTCGTATTGTAGGGGGCAACTGGCTGGCCTTTAGCGAACATCTCGGCTCGAACCCGGGATGCCCGCTGGCTCTGCTTCTCGTCGAACTTCTTCTTCTCCTCCCAGGTCAGCTTGTAGTAAGGCTTCCAATGCCGCTTCTTTTTGGAAGGCCTCCTCCTGTGCTTCTTCTTCCCCAGCTGTCTTTGCTGTTGCTGCTGTCGCCAAGCCTCCTCCTCCTCCCCGACAGGAACTGCAAACTTGTCGCCCCCATAACCTTGGCACGACTGCGGGGGCTGGGCTCCGGGCCTTTGCCCCTCACCCAACGGTGGTGCAGCAGCAGCAGCCCCGACAGCTGTCAGATTGTCAAGGTTCTGGCCCTTCTCGCCCCCCTCTGGGCAGCCGGGGTCTAGGCACGCCACAGTCGCCCTGGGAGGCGAGGCTGGGGCTGGGTTCCCTCCTCCCTCCTCTTTTCCAAGGATCTCATCAAGTTCAGGAGAAGCTCTCGATTGCCACCTACAGTCCTCCCCGGGGGGCTCGGTATAACGCTCCGCTCTGCCCATAGCACCTGTACAGTTGGAAGAAGTTTGAGAAGTCTGTTGCTGCTGCTGACACTGAGACAGAAATGGCTCGGCCATGACTGGACGGAGTCCTCTTCTGGAAGAGTTGGAAGTAATATTTTTTTAAATAGCCACAAAGTCCCTTCTTTTCTCTTTTAAAAGAAAAAAAAATCTTTTTAAATGTCCCGCGGGTCTTCTCTTGAACGCCGGCAGCACTGATGGACGGAAGTATTCTATTGTCAAGCCTTCCGCCTACAAACTCCACTCCAAACTTGGAAAGGGCGCTTCTGGGTCAGCAAAGGGTTAAGCACCCCCTAGACCGTCGGGCGGGCTAGCTGGCGGGACCCAAGATCTGCAGCACCAAAAACAGTATGTATGCGGGTGTACTGGGGGAGGGCTCGCCTCAGGCCCTCCCCCCCACCCGAAGAGTTGGGGGCAAAGCCAGCGAGAGTAGCAGAAGCAGCAAGGTGAAAAGTCCAAAGGGTTAAAAAAACCCAGCCCCGAAAGGGTTAATGCCACCAGATGACGCGCCCGCGAGGGCCTGGGTCCGTAAAGGGTTAAATCCCCTGCCGCAGAGCCCACAAGGGGTTAAAGTCCCAGGACCACTTCCGACCACTTCCTCCCACTTCCACGGGTGTCGCTCCGGCCCCTGCTTCCCCGCTCCCTGGCCCCGGCCGGAGCCTCAGCCGAGAACGGACAAACTCATCTCCCCCTTGGCTCGGCGCTCTGCTCTGAGCTCTCCTCCTCCTCCGCCTCCTCCTCCTTCTTCCCCCCTCCCCCTTCCGACAGCACTGCTTCCGCCTCCTCCTTTACTTTTCCCCCTCCCAACCTGCTTCCTTCACCTGCCAACTTCCAACTGCTGCCTCCCAGCTCTCTGTGCTGCTTTATATAAAGGAGCCAACCCGCCCCGCCCCCGCGCAAGCGCGCCGTAGACTCCTCCGCGGCACGCCGGGACTCGTAGTCCACTGTCTCTTGGGACTAGCGTCCCCATGCGTTGGCCAGACCAGCCAATCGTCAGGCACGCGGAGGGTGCCTCCCAGCCCCGCCTCCTCGACCGCCGGATCGGTGCGACCGAAACGTGCACTGCTATAGGACACAGTGACCGAGATGAGCGGAGCGAGGCTAGCCAATCTCGGGAAGATTAGGGCGGGTTCTGGACGGTACCATGGTGTTTCAAGAGTAGGAGAAAATTCGCCAGCTCCAAATGAGGCTTGCAGCGTAATTGTTCAAGAAAGATACGTTTTAAAGGATAGTGTCAAATATTTTCCCCAGTGAAACAATTCTGAGGCTCGTCAATGTTCCCTGTACTAAAGGTAAAATGGTTCATTCCAAAAAATAGTCCCCGAGTATAATCGGCTTTTGACCCCTTCACAAAAAGGTATTAAGTCGAGGGAGTTGAGGATAATATCAGAATCTGCGTCCAAATCAGAGTCAGAGCCCAAGGGACTGCCAATATTAGGTTTTCAGAAAAAAGTGATCCTGAGAGCGCCATTTGCGGAGGGATACCTAAAACATACACCTTTTGAAACCCGGAAGGGGCGAAAGAAGACGTAAACAAATCAAGAAGAAACGTGTGCCGGCTTAAAGACACAGGGAGGCTCTCGCAACCCAGTCTCGGCCTAGGCTGAAGTGGTTGACTGCGTTCCTTTGCCACGGGTTCGAGTCTCACGTCCTCGTGGATTCTTCCAGAGGCCTATAGAAGAGGGGGAAAGGGTGCTGGCCTGAGAGGCTTGGCCCTGGGTTCAAGGCCTGCAGGCGAAGGAGAGGGAATTGTAGCTCGCTTCCGGTTCTAGCGCCATCTCTGGCTTCCCTGCCTTCTAGAAGCCTCCTCCGCGCCCCCCCCATCTCTGGGCCCGGGGCCCTGTCTGGGGAGGGGGAGGGGGGAGGGGAGAGAACCTTGATCGGAGAAAGGGGGCTAGAATTGGAGATTGAGCCCGTTCGGGGCTCTGTGGTCGCCCACCACTTCCTAGGGGTAGAATCCATTCTTCCCTAAACGTTAATACGCTTTGAGATCTTCCTAATAGGCCTTCTGTCTTCTTTTCCAATCATGCTCCACTGCACTGCCCCAGGGTTGTTCCTAAAACACAGGTCTGATCGTGCCCCCTCCCCTCCCCCCCCAAGCGGCAGTGGCTCCCTGTCGGTACCTCTAGGACCAAATCTATTGGAATGCATGCTTTTTTCGTGTAGGGATTGTTTCATTCCCCCCCCCCGTATACAATAGGTGCTTAATAAATGTGTGATTGATTAATTGACTGATACAAAGGCCTGTTTAGGCATTTAACACATCCTCACGTGTTCTCTAAGGTCTCCAGCCATGCTGTTTGTCACACTGAACATTCTGCCTTCTGCCCTGCTGTTACACAGGCTGTGTCCCCCATTATCTGTAATACACCCCAAGTGTTGAGCACAGTGCCTGGCACATACTAGGAGCCCAATAATGCTAGTTGATTACTGACTGACTTCTGCTTCTTCCAATCCCAAGCCTACTTCGAAGCTCAATCAAGTGCCTCCTCTTATAAGAGGCCTTTCCTGATCCTCCATTTGATAGAGCCTTCCCTCTCCCCATCCCCCTACCATTACTTTATACCTTGTTGTTCAGCAACGTCCAACTCTCAGTGACCCCCTTTGGGATTTTCTTGGCAAAGATACTAGAGTGCTTTGTCGTTTCCTTCTCCAGCTCATTTTACAGATGAGGACACAGGCAAACAGAGTTAGATGACTTTCCCAGGGTCACATAGCTAGTAAGTTGGTTTTTTGTGTTTTTTTGAGGGTATTTGAACTCAGGGTTTCCTGACTCCAAGGGTATATCCAGTATACCACCAAGCTACTCCTGTTTGTGGGAGATTTGAACTCAGGGTTTTCTGACTCCAGGGGTGTGTCCTCTATACCACCTAGGGGCTCTTTCTATGTGTATTTGTTGTCTCCTCTCCTCCTTCCCCCCCCAACCTGTAAGTTTCTTGAGGGCAGGAATTGTTTGTCTTTGTCTTTGACTCCCAGTGACTAACAAAGTGTTTAGCACCAAAAAGGCAATTGATAGATGCTTGCTGATTGATTGATTGATTGATTGATCCTCTAGAGATTTGCCTGGGTCCTGGTTGAGGGGCGCTTTCTTGAAGGAAAGCTGGATGAGAACTGAACCTTTAAACGTTAAGACATTTCCTTTCCTTAGCCCATCCATGAAGGATATAACCCTGTATTACTAGACTGAGTTCTTGGAGAGGGGTTAATGGATTTTGGATTGTCTAGTCTCTGAGGGAATTGCAAGCAGGTCTTGTGGCTATGAATTTGGAGGCCTAGTTTCTGATTGCACCCTGCCAACTAACTGCCTTTTCCCTCTCTGAGGCTGTTTCATCCGTTGTAAAATGGGAGCCTTGAATTCTGGAAAACAGTTTGCAACTAGGCACAAAAAAGAAAAAAAAAAAACCTTAGCAGTCTGTAACTAGAATCCCCTTTGACCCACTGATAATCCTGTAAGGCCTAAAGAAAGAGGAAAAGGGTCCAAATGCACCAAAAGATAGCTCTTTTTTGTGGTGACAAAGAACTGGAAACTAAGGGAGTACCATCAATTGGGAAATGGCTCAACAAGTTACAGTATGTGAACGATGAAGGAGAAAACTGGAAAGATTTGTGTGAACCAGTGAAGAGTGAAAGGAGCAGAGTAATTTATAGAAAGACAATAATATTGTAAAATCAAAGAAGTTTGAAAAACCTAGGAATTCTGATCAGGGTAATGACTAACCATGATTCAGAGGATTAATGATGAAACATGCCACCCACCTCCTGACAGAGAGATGAAGGGCTCAGAATGCAGAATTGGAATTTTTTTGTCACGTCTAATATGAAATTTGTTTTGCTTGACTATACGTATTTGTAACAGGGATTTTATTTTTCTTTCTTTTTCATTGGGGAGGTATAGGTAGATAAAGGCAGATTTTTGCTGATAGGAAAAATAAAATTTAATTTAAAAAAAAGGGAGAGAAACAGCATAGTCCCTGGCACAAAGTGAAGTACTTATTGATGAGTTTATTTCATTTAAGCCTCATCACAACTCTGTGAGGAAGGTTCTACAGGTATCACCACCACCACCACCACCACCCCATAGTCTAATGTTAAGGCAAGTAGACTTTAGTTCCATTTTGGGATACCCTCAGTGAAGCTGTCCTTGTGAGACAGTTTTGAGGAGTTATTTAAGCACTGTGATGGAATCTGTCTGACCAAGTAAGGGAGAAAGGCCTAGGTCCCCTGAGTCCTTTGGGAGACATTCCTGGTAGGGGCTTGGAATTAAGTGATGATACCAGACAATCATTTATTGAAGACCTGCTGTCTGCCAGACCCTGTGAAAAGGGCTTTACAAATATTATCTCATTTGATCCTCACGATAGTCCTGGGAGGGAGGTGCTGTTGTTCCCATTTTAAAGATGGAGTAAAAGGTTAAGTGATTTGCCCAGGTCACATAGCTAGTAAGTGTCTGAGGCTGGATTTGAACTCAGGGCTTCCTGACTCCAGGCCCAGCCCTCTACTTCACCACCTAGCTGCCTCTAATTAATTTAATTAAATGCCTCTCTTTGCTGACTTAACATCTGTCAACCATCCTTGGTTATACACATCATCCTTCACTCCCCCCCCCACCACCACCACATCCAAATCCTTCCCTATCTTCCTTCTCTCTTGTGATCCTTCCACGTCCAATTTCTGGGTTTTAGTCTTTCCATTCTGGCAGTCTTGATATCCAAGAGTGGAATATTAAATAGCCTAACAGGTCCCCCTGCCTCTAGTCTCCCATCCATTTTACACACACAGGCCAAAAAGTAATCTCTTCCTGAAATGCTGCTTTGCACAGGGAGCCCCACCTTCCCCACCCTCAGCTAAGTGATAAAACCTCGTGGAGTCCCGAGCCCAGACAACACTGTCCTCCAAAAGAGTTAAGTCCTCACTGTGTGTTGATGACAGATGAGAAGTTTACAGGCTGAGCTGTGCAGCTCTGTGAAAGCAGAAGTCCCTAATTATATGAGAAACAGCCTTGGAGTGCCCACTGACTCTCTGGAGTCTGCAGTACATCTGGATGAATCTTTCAATGGATCCTAATTTCAAAAGATCATAAATGAAGTGGTGGAAGGAACCTCAGAGATCATCTTGTACAACTCCCTCATTTTACAGAAGAAAAATAAATGAGGCCTCAAGAATGGAAATGCCTTGTCTGAGATCACATATGTAGTGAGAGTCAGAGGTGGAATTTGAACCCCCGGGTGCTCTGATTCCATAATCAATATACTTTCCCTTCAGTTCTCCCAGAAAGTCACAGGCCCACATCCCTTCCCCCGCCAAAAAAAGTTTCTAACAGATGAGGAAATTGGGACACAGATTGTGATTTGTCCAGGGTCATACAGTTAATAGATGTCATTGGTAGGTTTTGTTTTGTTGGGGCTGGGGGAGGTTTGTTTTTTCTATTTCCAAGGCAGCTAATAGGCTCAGTGGCTAGAGCTCTGGGCCTAGAGTAAGGAAGACCTGAGTTCAAATTTGACCTCAGACATTGTATGACTCTAGACAAGTCACTTAGCTGCTATCTGCCTCAGTTTCCTCATCTGTTAAATGGGGATAATAATAATAATACTTACCTCCCAGGATGGTTGTGTGAGGATCAAATGGGCTAATAATTGTAAAGCTCTTAGCACAGTGCCTGGCACACAGGCACTATATCAATGTTAGTTATTATTACCTATTTTTAATGGCTTTAAACTTAGGTTTTCAGACTTCCAAGATGATTGCTCTTTCTACTTAGATCTTCTAACCGCAAGAGTAGGCCTTTTGGAATTATACGCTGTCTCTAAATTAGGATGTGTCAGAAGGGCTGGAGCAGAGGTTC